CTTTTTCCTGTTGAAATCTCACGTGTATGGAATTTATTGAATTTATCAAATGCTGTTTTTTGAATAAAAATAGACAACAAGTAAATATTACTCTAGATCTCAGTACAATTGTTAAGCATGGTTCTTGATTAATATGTCCAAACATACATTAATATCCTTTTGAAAATATAAAAGAAACATACTTATCTTACCCTTGGTTTTGGAAATTACTGCTCAGTTATAGGAAAATAAGGTATTAAAAATCTATCTATTGCATACAGATGGAGATTAAATTATTTAAACAAATGAAAAACAGAAATGATAATTATACGCAGAACAAAGAACATTCTACATTTTTCATGAATATTCATATAGTTCAGTTTCCAGATTCACAAGCTCACATTATAAATTACTTTTGAACAACAACATTGCCTTCTTTTTTCCTAACTGCACTACTTCCTATGTAAGCCTAACAGAATTTTCCAAATTTTACAATTACTATAAATATATTTCTACAACTAAAACTGAATTTGAAATGATATAATAAAATTCTTGTGATAAAAATTATTTCCCAATATTCAGGGTGAGATACGACACATAGCTTCAAGTAAAAAAATGTGTAACTAATACATTAAGTCATTGAATATTTATTACCAGACTGTTTTTTATTATACATTGTACCTTAATCATTCATCCAATATTTATTGAGCATCTAGTAGGTACAAAATTCCATGTTAACAAAGATTAACCAAAGACAAAAAAAAAAAGTCTCTTCAAATAAGTTACAAAATGATAAAGAGGTAAGATATAGACACATGTAACAATTAAACTCTAAAAAAACTGGCAAATGTCTTTTAATCTAAAGTACCATTATACTTTAAAAGATGAAATATTGTTTTTAGGATATAGTTGAGAGACTTAGGAGCCAGAATTAATACAGTGGTAAAGAGTATCCCAGGAAAAAAATGTCAGTGGCAAGATGGTCCAGTAATGTTTCTCCGAACAAGAAGTCCTAAGTTATCTCAGTGTTTGTAGAAGAGTATATCATCAGTAAAATGTTCAGATTCTGTTGGCAAAAATAATAATAGTGATTTCCTACAGATTACAAGTTATATGAGCTACTAGGTTGTATGCCATACTTTTCAAAACAAAGTAAATTTTTTACTGGTTTATATAACAATCACAGTATGATACAATAATACTGGGCTTGTAGGTAGTAGATGCCATCAAAGAGTTAAGATTTTTCTCTTCAAACTTTAAGGTCAACAAAACTTCAGAAAACTCCAATGAATTCCCAATTAATTGTCACTTTATTAAATGGGACAAAGCAGATAGAGGCACCCTCTGAATATCCTGTCTCCATGCTTCAATGCATCCTGAACTAAAATAACTCAATGCTCATAATACATGTAATACACTCTAACCACTCACAAGGGGAAAAGATAAACTGCCAGACAGGTTTTCTTTGTTCAGAAAAGTTAGACATAGACAATCAGTTGCTAGAATTTATTAAAGGAGGAAGCAAGTGTTGGGGGTGGGTCATGACAGGATCTTCTGAATCTAAGTTTTAATAACTTCAAACTTTGCTGCCATAATTTAACCCTTATGTCATAACTGAGATTATTGAAGAAACTAGAAGACTCTTCCAGGAAGTTTAAATAAAGTCAAGGTCAAGTGTGTGTGAAGCAAAGGTAAGTGTTGAACCCTCCCCTCAGTTTGATCAGCAACAGCTCTGACTGATCACTGTTCATGTTTGACCAAGTGATCAAAGTTTTGACTATCATCTTCAGTGTCAGTTTTAACCACTTATGTATTTTAGACCTATTTTTCTATTTATATCAATTTTCCCCACTTACAACTTTAATAGCAGCTATAAATATAAAAACTTAGCTCACATTCTAATTTCTAATAGTTTAAATGCAGTGTTTTATAATATGTATTTGGAAATACTACACCCATACCCATATATTTATTATACCTATGCAATATATATATATATATATCCTGTTACATACATATTGACCATCTGCAATGTGTACTTCTCTGTAGAGTTATGCTCATTAGATTGAAGAAGTTCCTATCTTTGAGTCTTTCTTCCCAATGAATGTAATTGAATGTAAAATAATTAGGTTCTTTAATTTTAATGAAGATGATGTCAGCAATGTAGTTAGGATTTCCAGTTAGTTTATCATGAATGCAAAACTCTTATGATCACTTTTGTTATGCTCTGAACTAATCAGATGAGACATGGTCTTTCCTTAAGGAATTTATATATTGTGATTAAATAGAAAAGAGTGTGCCTCTGGGAAAACTTGCTGTCCTACTAACCTATATTTGAGATTCATGTTCATTGATAAGCTTAAAAACGACTTGGTAGTCAACAGTAATCAGCATTTCCTCCAAATGTTCCAATAAGTCTGCTTACAGACACATCTGTTTGTGCTGCCTGACCACGTGCTATTTGTACCTCTCCTTACAGGCCACAGCTATGCACTAGACTATGATGTTAGCACTCCTTGGCCCTGCCCCAACAACCTCTTTTCTCAGAATGATGGTTCCTGTTAATACTACAAAAATGGAAATAGTCAGCGTGGGCAGGTTGCCATATGGAGGTTGACAGCTGCTCAATCAGATTAAGACAAATGCACACAGGCAACATGAGAGTAAAAAAAAAAAAATCATTTTAGAAGAAAACTCAGTTGTTTTGCTGTTGTTATTTTTCCCAGGATTTTTAGAAATAGTACATCAGTTTTAAAGATTATGCTATAAGAGATAAGCTATAATTAGTATTGATATGAAGCAATTTTTAAAAAAGGTTAAATAACCTACTTCAAAATTTTCTGTTTTTAGCCTCCAACATCTTTTCCTATGGCCATAGCATTTAAGATTTATTTCTTCCCCACCCATACATGCCCCACCTCTGCCAAGTATCTTACAAAATAATAAAGACCTCCACTTTCTGAAAAAGAAAGTAATGTTGAAAAAACTGTCAAAATATGCTTTCAAAGATTGCATAATATGCCAACAGAAAAGTAACAGAATTTTACAACCCACTGAAAGATAACACACCACCATCAATAGCCAAACTCATGAATAAATAAATATTTACAACATGTACATATGCATATCAAGGCAGGGCTACATTACAGAAATTCAGAATCTGTGGCACATATTTATGCAATGCATATACAGAGATAAACAGAGACACTAAAGAGAAAATAATTTTAAAGTAAAGTCAACACATTTAAAGTTTTCCAGTAACTTGTGTGACCTTTCCAAAATACACAAGACACTTTCAACAATAAAGGAAATATGTTGCTGTGATTGCCTATTCCTGAACTTGACTGAGTCATATCATCATTATACAGCAGAGCTAGCAAATTTCTAGCTGAGCTAGTTAGAGTACATTGGAAAAACTAGTGCTACGCTCAAAGATGAAACATTTTAGACCTGATTTACAAATGAAATCCAGTGCATCTGTATCTAAAGCTGTGTGGAATGAATCAACGCCTAGGAAGACAGAGAAGCATTTTGGAACAAACCTTTCTCACTAGGTTAACAACTTTCCTAAAATTTTACAGCTGTTTAACTTTCTCACTGGGCAGCTGCAGCTCCAAATCTATTGCTGAAGTTTAATGCAGGAAATTAAACTTTGACATGATACAAGTACTAACTATCTTTGAAAAATGCATATAAGAAATACAGGTTAACACTCCTGACATCCCCTGGAGTCGATAACACTATACATCTCTAGATCCCAAGCCACCAAAAAGCTGCCATGCAGGCTAACATAAATAACAGCTTGCAGTGTGCAAGGTGAAAAAAAATCCATTGATAACACCAGGCAATACAGAAATGTGGTGATATAATTTACAAGGCCCCAGATAATTTGTCTCAACCACTCCTTTGGGTAGATATGTACCGACCATCTAAGCTAAGTGCTGTTGGAACTTTTCCCTGAAAGGTATAGTAGGTAAAAGATTTGAAATGTCTTTAATGCAACAAAAGGAGAAACCGAAAGATCAAACTGAAGGGGCTTGAGTATTTAGAAGATCCTGCTGAGATGCTGTGATAAATTATTAAAACTTCTTGTTAATGTTCATGCTTCTCTTTAACCTCAGATCATAACACTGACAGTAAAGCAAAGATGGGGGTAGACCCAGAAGTGTTTTCTAAAGCTAAGATAAAAAAATATGAGATAAAAAGAATGCTTGCATAAAGCAAAATCCTCAGCTTTCTTCCATCAAGATTTTTCCTAAAACATAAAAACACTGTAGAGAAAGTCTCTCTTGGGATATTTCTGCAGCATCATTTTGGGTTACTGCATTCACAGAACACATACCTCGATAACTTGTGTCTGGTAGGAACAAATGCCATTCAGGGAAAGCAAAACCAACAGAAGTTTACAAAAAAGGTATCTTTGAAGTCTCAAAAATTCTCTCCCATCTCATTATAATTTTTCAACAGCAGAAGAAAATGGATTACAATGCTCTCAAGTGCTGAAAGGCTTTTTTCCTCATCTAGCAGATACTTTTTCCCAATGAAGTTAATGTAATTTATCTTCACTAACACAGTAACACTGATAGAGTCAGCCAAAAAAATCAGTGTTGGTAGCACTGTATTTCCTAACACGCCACTGATCATTTCACAAAATATGCAAACAATTGAGTGATCTCACATATTCAAAACCCACATCTTTCAGAAAATGCAGCTTCCTAAGGATAACGCACATACCCTTGTACTAGAACAGCACACATTTGGCCCTGGAGTAATGATCATTGTAATGCTTTGAAAGCCCAGCAAACCAAAAACTGCAAACATATATTTATATCAGTAAGAGAAGAAAAAAAAAAAAAAAAACCTCTTCTTCCTAGCCACCTACAACACAGATCCTCTTTCCAGAAATAAAAATCCTGATTTCAAACAGAATCAGCTCCTATACCATTAGCTGTCCTCCAGATACCAATATCCGGCTTTGCTGACCCCTTACAGATCCTTACCACAAAACTTTCATCACTTACCCCCCTTCCAAGGTTTTCCTTTCCAGGGGGTCCGGGTCAGCTTGCTCAGAGTTGGTCCAGAAAAGAGGAGCATCAAAACGAAGAGAAGTTCCAGCCTAGTAATTTTCCCCACTTTCTCTGATGATAACATTTCCACAAGTGAATTTCACAAAATTTCTCACATCCTCTTCCCTCCCGGTTATGAAAATAGCATTAATCATTGAAAAACCTGAGGTAGGTGTTGTTTTGCCATCTTTAACAGCTGAAGGAGCAGCTCCCTGATGTAGCCCTGAGCCAAGCTACATTTCTCACGGCTCTGGCTCCTGCTCCTCAGCACGCAGTCAGCACTGCTTCTACTCCAGGAGCTAGAAAATAATTTCTGTTCTCCACTTTGCTTTCAGTGAGAATACATTCCTCAGCGTTCTGGGTGAGCTTGATTGAAAATGATAAAAACAGTAATGTCTGTGTCCAGCAGAAAAGAGAAAAGATGTCAGGATTGTGTGAAAAAGATGAGAAGCAGTTGTACTGACAGCTTTCAGGCTGCCTGTGTGATCCCTAATAGCCGTGCAACCAACCAAATTGCTCTTTTAAGAGTAATAAGGCTTCAGTGAAAGCCGGTATCACAGCCACTTGGGTGGGTAGTGCTGGGCTTGAAAATCGCCCAGGCACTGCCACAGATAACGACTGCTTCATTCCAGCTTTAGAATAGGAAGGGCTGAGCAAAATACAGTATGCACAGAGGGTAGTTAATCTATTGTGTGGATAGACGGGGGATTCCAGCGATGTACTCCGGACAGACTCAGAACTTGAAATGATTTTATTTTCCCCTAATTCACCTCATGACATTCAAATGGGATTGCATCTGCACTAATTATTCATAAATGGGTCTGAAATATTTATTAGATGAACAACAATAAGTATATAATTTTTCTCCCCAACAATGAAACTAGGAAGACAGACTCTCAATACTTAAGGAGTCTCTTCTGTATTAAAGTCAGTTTATTTGGACACACTTATGTTTCCCTAATGAAGCCACTGTGAATGATACCAGCAAACTTTTAGACATACCAAACGGAGTCTATCAAGGCTGAGTTGATCACGCTTTCAGGGAAGCACATTTTTTTATTTGTTTTTGTACATCACCATGGAAATGCAAAAAGCTCTCTCAGTCTTTTTAAACTATATTTATAAAAACAGCAGTGGTCACAAAGTGTGGTGATAAGGAACAAACACACAACCCTGCCTCTTCATCAACAGGACGTGGGTAAAATCTGTCAAATAAAAATAAACTGATCTCTATTACCTTAAGTATATTGGCATGGTCAAAAGACTCAGCCCAATATATTATTGGGCTGAAAGCTGTCTGCATCTTAGTAATTTCCATGTGGTCACTTATTCCCTTAATCAGTGAACTATAATGCATGAATTATGCATTTATGTATGATAAAGTAATTGATTCTAATATTATGATAATCACCAATTTTAGCATGTTTAAATATGAGATAAACTGCTTTTTTGAAATAACAGTCCTGGAAAAGTTAATGTTAAAAAGATTAAGTTATACCAAGGTTTTAAGCTATATATTAAATTTGAAAACATAGTTATTACAATTCACTATTCCATAAAAGAAGCAATGTTTGACAAGATATCAATGGGACACAAAAACAAATTATAACACTGTGTCTTAGTTTAGAAACAATAATGTCGCTTTATTCAGCTTTTAATTTTAAAATTTCTCAGGGAGTTTAGAAAAGCTTATACCATGTCCTTTTTACAAATAGTGAATTAAAATTGTTATGTCTTTGTATATTTTAAAATGGGTGTTGGTATATGAGATTTTCTCTTTGCCAGTCACTCCTCTTATTTATCTGTCTCCTTCCCTTTAAGTGCATGTAAACAGAACATGGTAGGATGAATTGGCAAATTCCCTTACCCCCATCCTCTGAGGAAAACTCTGGAACCAAGCTTATTTACTGTCTATTGGCTACATCTCTTAGAAAGAAACAACATGCTTCTTCATAATTTGTGAGTATTTATTTTTTAATGACTTCTTCCTCCTTAGGTTGAATAGGCTTAAATATAATTGAAAACTTTTGGAAGAGAGGATAAATAATTCTGAAGGGCCTAGCAGAGCAAACTTAAAAGGAAAAGTATTCTTTACTGGATTTGGGATACAGTTGGTCAGGTGGTCAGGTTGACTACAAAGAAATTCCATGTTTGGATTTTCAAGGTTTGCTTCCTCTTCAGTGGACCATGTATGTACCACACCATAGATCTCTCTGGTGGGTGAACTGAAATGGAATTGAAAGAACAAAACCCCTCTTGCTCATGGAGAGAAGGTCACTCTTTTCCAAAACTCACTGGGCTGAAACTTGAAGTTCTAGTTTAAGCATTCTAATCTCTTGTGGAAATAGGAGTTTGAAGGAAAAGGGAAATATTGAGTGGAAGAAAAGTCCAAGTGAGATAGCTCTGCACAGGTATGAATGCAGAAACACCTTCCCCATCTAAATTAACATTAATACTAAATTATCACTCTCATTACAAATTCTGAGCACCCTTTTTTGTATTGGGCTACTCAGTCTTTATAACCCACAGAAGTAGGAATAATTATTATTTCCTAGTACATCGTAAATGTAGGCTCAGAGAGCTTAAGTCACACATACAAGGTCTAGAGCCTTTATTAATGATTATGCTACTCCCTATACCGAACTGTTCTCTCTGTGCTCAGTTCTTCCAAGTTAGCTTGCATGTCAGTAACATTGTTATATGAAAGAATAGCTAATAGGACCATGGTAGTACTCAGTCTGTGCCAGGTTAGTTTAATTGCTTTACATATTTTAGTTATTCGCCCACACAATCACCTTGTGAGATGACTCTGATATTGTTCATGCTTTGCAGATAGTTACTTGTTCAAATAACACATAGTAAATACACGTAGAGCCAGGATTTGAACCCTGTCTGAACTCAGATATTTATTATCCAGTTTTCATTTTCTACAATTGGGGATGTGATCTGGGGAAACCAGATAGGAGTGAGCAAATTAGAGAATTAGGGTAACTGTGACTGGAATCTCCATTGGTTGCTGGCAGTGACAGGGAGGTCTATAAATGGTAAAGGCTAGAGAAGGTCCCACTGAGAGATGCAGTCATAATAAATGTCCTCATCCCGTGCTTGCACTCAAAGGAAAACAGAGGAAAGAGAAAGTCCCAGCAAGACTTGACTTACAGACAGTTGCAATACAGCACAATAAATGTTTGAATTCAAGCCATAAAGAATTGTTAGGAAGATTAGAGAGAAGGAGAGCTATAAAAAAGGGTCATATTGAAGTACAGAAAAAGAGAGGAGAGTTGTTTCAGTGAACAGAGTAGAGATGAAGGCCTTTTTACTAAGAATCAAAGGCTGAGTATTTAAAACTAGGTCAAGTCCAGAAAAATGCAGAGGATGATCTACACAGAGGGAAGAACATAACCATGATCAGAGAGATGAGAAGCAGCCCAGCTTCTTCCAAGAACTGCCAGGAAGGCAGTGTGCCCGAGCGCTGATTGCATGAATGAAATGCAGGAAAGGATGAATGATAGGCAAGGGCTAGATTAAAATTTTAAAATAGACTCACTGCCAAAGGTAGAACTGACCCTCAGTGACAGAAGGCCAATAAAGGGAAAATGAGTTTGCAAATAAGATTTTTGGCTGCATTTTTGTGGAGCTTGAAATTAGAAGCAGGGAAGACCATTTAGAAATGACAACAATATTCTAGGCAAGATGTACTTTCAAATTGAAATAAAACAATAAGAATGAATAGGAAGAGATTAACTTGAAGTAAATTCTATGATTTAGATTCAATATTAATTAATTGAACAAACATTTAATTATACACACACACACACACACACACACACACACACACATATGTGTGGCAGGAAAATGCTGTCATCAAGATACTATGCTTAAGAACCCAGTAACAAAAACAGTAATGAACAGGACAGTGTTCCAGTGTTCTCTTCTTCAAATACATCCATGTAAGTTTGATTTTGTCTGTTCTGCTAGCAATTCCTCCAACTAATCTCTGATACTTGGTAATACTGATGCAACATGAGTTATGTTACTATGTTTTCCATAATTGGAGCCCTCCCCTAAAGAGTTTGCAAACCACTCCCCTCCCCCAATTTACTAAGGTTTTGAAAAGAATTTGTCAGGTTATCTCATTGATTAAACTCATTGACTATATTCTCTGCATTAGATGCTGTTGAATATTGAACTAACCTCTTTTATGAAAGTTCCATGAGTTGGGTAGAGAAGTAACTAGGTGATTCATAATTGATGCAAATTTTACCCATAAAGGGACATTGAGATTGTCTGAATATTGTTTGTTTTTGTTTATTGCAATGGGGAGAAGGATGCTAGTGATGTACACAATGGCATGCTACTAAATATCCTATTTTAGCACACAATAGTTCTTACAACAAAGAATTATCTGGCAAAAAAAAAAAAAGAAAAAAAAAGTTTCAATAGAGTGGAGGTTGAGAAACTCTGAGGTAGCCTCAGCTTGTGGCATCACAGGATGATGATTCTGCTAGCCATCATTTAAGTAGAGGTGCAGTAAATGCTCCTTTAGATTGAAACTCACACACATGACTTTTGAGCAGCATGCTCCCTAACAGCAGTAATGCAAAATAGCCTATTTAGATTCTTCTGCTTCAAAAGAAGCTTTCTATTTCTCCTACTATAATTCACCCACAGAGAATCATTCATCTCCCTGAACACCATACATCAGGCCAGAGCAGTGGTAGATATACTTGGTTTGAGAGCTGGAAGGGGCCCAGTGATGCATGTGTCTATCAGTAAAGACATTTCTTGTCTGGAAAATTCCAAGTGTCCCTTTATTACTCAAAAACCAGAGAAAATCATTAAGGAAAACTTAGCATGTGAGTCTCCAATTATTTCCCTCTTATTAACTTGGCAATGATCAGTCTCGACTAACTACAGGCTGCACTATCATTACTATATTTTTATCAAATACTCCATCAACAAGTCATTCGAATGAAAAGTTTAGCTGGTATAATAAAAAATAGACTGGTAAATTAGCCATAGTACAGTTTGATAATTATTAAAAGACCACGGATCAGTTCATCAATTCATATAATCATACATACATGGATATCATTAATTATTTATTACCCCCTGATTCTTCAATATTCAGTTTTCACTGTGCAAGTCAAAATACTTATGTGAACATCTCAATTCTATATCAAAAACACACTTTAATTCTTCATCTTTACCATATTTTCCTTAAAGATGAAAAAGAATACCTTTTTTTTTTTCTTTATTTTTAGTGCTGGTAATTGAACTCAGGGGCATTCGAACTCTGAGCCACATCCCCATCCCTATTTTGTATTTTATTTACAGAAAGGGTCTCACTGAGGTGCTTAGAGTCTTGCTTTTGTTGAGGCTGGCTTTGAACTTGCAATCCTCCTGCCTCAGCTTCCCCAGCTCCTGGGATTACAGATGTGCTCCACTGTGCATAGCAAAAAATATCTTGACTACATTATTTCTTTCTCAATCTACTGCAAATACAAATCACTTCACAGTCTAAATAAATAAAGGGTGGGGGAGAACCCTTGGCTTTTGCATGAGTTAAGGTAACATAGAATATATATTAGTTTTATTTCCAAGGTCAAATAGCTATGGGTCCATATGTACTAAACTCAAAC